AGGGGTGAGAGCGGGATGCCAGCCTCGTAGGGCGCTGGAACTCATGACATCTGGGAACCAGCGAATGCAGCTCCTCGGAGCAATTTCCATGAAAGTATTTGTAGAACAGACAGAGGGAGGTGACGGCGCGTCTGTGAGAAAGTGACTGTTATAGGAATGTTTAATTTTCAAAGCACGGTCAGTACATTGTGGCCGTGTTCATAATTGATATTATTGGGCGTTGGCTTTTTCGTTTTTATTAATAATGCTTCCAATATTTTTAGTCTTTTATGACATGTGGATGAGGCTGTCATATTTGTATTATCAACGAGCATGTTGAACTTAGTAGGACTCCATGTGTATTTAAATGAGACCGAACTGAGGTATGGCGAGAGAAATGTAACGTGTGTCTTCTTGTTAGGAATGTTGTAGTATATTCAATAAAATAATTTATGAATTTGGTTTGGTCAGAAACTCAATTCCTTATTGGACATGTGAAAGAAATAATATTGGTTCTCTGTAATTTGAATCTTGTAATCCGTTGTAACATATCATTTTAATGGAACTTGGTAATCAATACAATATAGTTATATATACTTGTGTCACATCTAAGCCTCTGAAAGTAAACCACAAAAATTATGACTGAGTAGTGAAACCATTTATATTTTTCTTTTTCATCTAAACTAGGCTTAGAATATATATATATATATATATATATATATATATATATATATATATATAACTTGAAGCAAATAAGACAGTTGTCCCTAAGTTTGCTGTTAAGAAACAAAATGGTCCTGTATTCATTTTGTATTATAGTGGTACTGTAGTGATTTTATAACATACAGGTTTTAATTATGTTAGCGCTACCATTTTTCGGAATAAACAGAAAATATATATATATATATATATATATATATATATATATATATATATATATATAAAAAGAGAGAGAGAGATAGAATTAAACTTCAAGCGATCTTCAGTGTCGATACCATGCAATGTTCACACTGTCTATAACTATAAATCCTCTATTTCAGATACCAGTCACACTTCTATAAATATACCAAATTTTAAATAATATATATACTATAATACTATAATTTTAAATAATATATCTAGTATAATATATTTTGCATATATCGTGACGAGAACAACTATACTACTTTTTCACGTAGTGGCCAACAACATTGACTGTCTTGAGCCATCGGCGCTAACCAAGCTTCAGATTTGCTGAGATCAAGATACACCGGGTTGCTTGGAAGTCAGCTCGTTACATCTACTTCGCAGGGAAATTGATTACAAAATATACATTACTAGCAGCATGGCCCGGCGTTGCCTGTGCTTGATTCAAAATCGCTATCACTTGACTTAAAATATTTTTGCCCTTCCTTGCCTTTATAGGAGTGCCCTTTGCCGTGCTGGTGTTGCTAAAAGCCTTACTTCTTGCCTATCTCACACTGCGAATGTTTTCTAAGCTCTATACTAAACATTAAATCTGTTACGAAAAAAGAATTAAAAATGAACCCAAAACGATTTAAAAAGCTTTTAAAAAGGACTCGTAACTGGAAAAACCGAATGAAAAAAGAATGTTAACAACAAATACTTTTTTTTACACCCAACCCAGTTCTGCTGAATCAGAATCAACGTTGAGTTTAAGCAAGTGAATGAGCCAATTGGAGTAAAGTGCCATGCAGATTAAAATTTTTCCCACTTTTGACGAATGCACCTATCGATTTTTTTTTTGCATGCTAGTTGACATTCGTGTCAGTCAACTGTTGGCTCTCACGCTGGCCAATAGAATCTTCATGCCTATTCGTGGCAGCCAGCTATAGGCTCTCACTCTGGCCAGTACAAAATGGCCGCAAACTACATGAAAACTGCCGTAGAAGCATGAAAAAATCGATTATTTCCACTATCGATGGGAGTTGGGAAATGCAAAGTCGGTCTTGGCCTTTCCGCTAACTTGGAGCATGTGCATGTAAATTTTAGTGCAAATCCGTCGAAAATTGCGGCCGTGCATTAGTTACACACACACACACATCCTGCCTTTTATAGATAGAGGTAATATAATATTTAAGGTAGAAATAGATTATATTTATATTTTGAAATTTTCTCAACGTTATAATTTAGGAGCTACAAGTGCAGGAGTGGACATCTCTTCTTATTTAAAAAAAAAAAAGATTAATAATAATTCAATCTCTGTTGACCAGGGTATTCTAGCGTCTTAATAAAGAAAATGAGCCTTTTAGTAGGGTTCGATCCTGCGTTTTCCCGAGTAGTGTGGAAACCACCTTTGGGTACAGCTATGCTTTAGAGCACTCGGCTATGAAATACTTCTCGGTAAATCAAAATAAGTAATAATAATAATAATAACAACAGTGGCAGTTTAAATTCACTTTGTCGTGTAAACAGTCGAAAGATATAAATAGGAGAGCGATTTAAACTCTGGCGAAAGACACTCGAATGCCCAGGCTGGTAGACATGGATTCATATTATAAAAAAAGAAACACGGGTGTTTATTCAAACGAGTTTATTCGTCCTGGGTAAGACGTTAAACTGCATCCGCGTCCTGGGTAAGATAATAAACTACGTCCAGCAGCAACACCTCTGATCAGGAGGATTTGGAGCAGCGTGGAACCACCTCTTAATTGCTAGTGTTCCCAGGTCTACTCTGACCCGGGGTGGTAGCACCTGTTCGACTCCCAGCTATGGGCAAATAGTTAACTATTACCAGCAATAATTTTTTGAAAAAAAATATTACCAGCAATACAATTTTGGAGGACAAATATTACGAGAAACAGATTTTTGACAAAACAAAATATTAAGAGTATTATCGACGCATAGTATTTCTCGGACATTCGTGTAGATAAATGTCGTTAATACTGTTTATTAGAAACAGAGCATTTACTTAATTATTTGTATCTATAAAAAGAATGTATAAACATAAAAAATGTCTTAAAATAATTGCCGGACTTTGTCCATTTCATAATGTGTGACGTCATTTGTTTACATTTGGATACGCATCGAGCAGATATGAATGTACGTGAGAAAATCATGGAGAATTGTAGTTTAAAAACATAAAAATCGAACTTGCTAACCGAACGTTCCTCTGTGGCCCAATCGGTAAACGCACGTCAGACTAAATATAATGTTCAACTTTCTCGCCGACGTAACGTGGCTTCCTTCTGTTTTTGTTTGTTTGTTTTTTCAAATATTTTCATGGCTACTGCACTGATAAGATTTTTCCCTGTTTCCCAGACTACGTGTGTTTAAGTGTGCTACTAAAATGGCATCTAGGTCCCAACTTTTTACTGTGGAATGAGGTAAATGCAACCGCCATTTTTACCCCAACTCATTTATTTTCTCGCGCTTCCCGCCTATGGAACTCCCTTCCGTGCTCTCCTGATAATTGCAATCTTCAAAAATTTAAATGCAACGTCAATCGCCATCTTCTATCTTCTTGAACCTCGTTCACCTTTTATCCTTACGCAGTTACCCTCTGCCTCTCTTGTCTTCAGAATAAGTGTTAAATTCTCCAGGCCTTCTTTCCTCACTTCTTTTTATTGTAAGTATAAGTTTCCTTGTAGTTCTTATTTTCCTTATAGTTTCCTCATTGCTTAAAACTTTCTCATCACATAATACCTTATGGAACAGACTCCCACATGGATGCTTCCCTAAACCATAGAATATTCAAGTCTTGATTTAATCCTAGAGAAATAATTTCAAACATAAATTCGAAAATGCCGTCATTAAGAAAGAAACTAATTTACTTAGAGGAAATGTTCTCGAAATTACATTCACAGATAGGAGCCCAAACATAAACACGTTCTTTCTTAAATGAAGTCTTCCTTTTAACATATTTATGTACGACCATAAAACCCCGTAAAAAATTATGAGAGAGTTAACCCATGGCTTAAATAATAATAATAATAATAATAATAAGTAATAATCACAATCATAATCACATAATAATAATAAGTCAATCGCTATCTTCTATCTTTTTGAACCCCGTTCAGCTTTTATGATTTTCTCTTTTCCTTCTTACCCTTCATTATCTGTAACCTTCTGTGTAGTAGTGATATTCCCGCCTTGCTTGAAGTGAAATGATTAAAAAAAAGATAAAGAATATTGTAATTTGCATAAATATTACGGTGATAGATGCGGCGAACTCACTATTCAGTCGTGAATGACGAAGAGAAACAAGTTCGCTTACCATTGCACCACGCCAATGCAGTCTTATTTTCTAAACGGCACAAGACTGAAAGAAAGGGGTACTACTCAATGATGATCAAACTCACTATTCAGTTGTAATTAAGCTAGCGACAAAATCTCGCTTATCATTACTCCACGTCAAAGTACCCTTTACGTGAATATTATGGAAGCTATTTAATGATAAAAGTTTAAGATAAATGCAGAGAACACAAACACCATGTGTGTGTGTGTGTGTGTGTGTGTGTGTGTGTGTGTGTGTGTGTGTGTGTGTGTGTGTGTGTGTGTGTGTGTGTGTGTGTGTGTGTGTGTGTGACTGATGGAAATTGAGCGTGTCGCATTGTTTTACGCGTTCAGCCTCGAAGAAATATGTAAATAGTGTCACGGTTGCTCTCTGAATACAAACCGCTTCTTAGTGTTCTTGTGTCATAACTCTGTATATATATATCATTTAACTCTAGTCTTTCTCTCACTCTCTCTCTGTATCTTTCCATTTTTCTTTCTTTCTTTCTTTCTTTCTTTCTTTCTTTCTTTCGCCTGGTCCTTTCTTTTTCCCTTTCTTTCTTTAACCTCTGTCTTTCTTTCTTATTTTTCTATCTCTCACTCCTTCTCTTTCATCCTTTCTCTCTCTCTTTCTCAATGACAAAATAATTCTACTCCTCCTCTAACTCTCGCTCACCATTCTTCTCTCTATCCCCTCTCTCTTTCTTTCACCATTTTCCCTATATTTACTTTTTTTCTCCATCTTTTCTCATCTCCTTCTCAATTTCTATTTTTCTCTTCCTTCTCTTTTTCCTCTCTCTTTCTCAATGTCTACCTCTTTCAAAATAATTCTCTTCTCCTCCTTAATTTCTTTATTTCTTTCTTTCTCTGCTCACCATTCTTTTTCTTTTCTTCATTTTTCTCTCTCACTCTCATCCCTCTCTCTCTTTCTCTCTCTCTTTCCCCCCGCTACCATTTTCGTTTTCTTCTATATTTCCACTTTCTCTCTCACCCTCTCCATTTCTTTCTCTCTCTCTCTTTTCTCACGCTCTCTTTCTTTCTCCCTCTCAATTTCTATTTCTCGCTTCCTTCTTTTTTCCCCTCTCCCTCTCTCTCAATTTCTCACCAGTTCCTTTTCTACCCCTTCTCTCTTTCACTATTCTCTTCTCCTGCCCTCCTTAATTTCGCTCCATATTTCTATTTCTTTCTCTGTCTCTTTCTGTTTTCTTCTCTCTCTCTCTCTTTCTCTCGCTCTATGTTCCCTTCTGCTTCCCCCCTCTCTCTTTCTCACGCTCTCAGTTCCTTTCTGCTTCCCCCTCTCTCTCTCTTTCTCACGCTCTCAGTTCCTTTCTGCTTCCCTCTCTCCCTCTCTCTCTTTCTCACGCTCTCAGTTCCTTTCTGCTTCCCCTCTCAGTTCTCTTTTCGCTCTTTCCTTTCTCTTCCCCCTCTCTCTCTTTCTCACGCTCTCAGTTCCTTTCTGCTCTCTCCCCCTCTCTTTCTCTCTTTCTTTCTGCTTCCCTCTCTCAGTTCCTTTCTGCTTCCCTCTCTCTGTCTCTGCTCCTTTTTCTTCATCTCTCTCAATCTTCTTCTTCTTCTCTCAGTTCCTTTCTGCTTCCCTCTCTCTTCTTCTTTCCTCAGTTCCTTTTCTTCTCTCTCTCTCTCTTTCTCCGCTCTCAGTTCCTTTCTCTCCCTTTCTCTCAAATTTTCTTCCTTTCTGCTTATTCTTTTCTCTTCCTTTTTTTTTTCAATCTTCTTCCTTCTCCTCGTTATTTCCTCTTTCTTCCTCTCTTTTCTATCCCCTCTCTATCATTTTCTTTATCCCTCCCTCGTTATTTCTTGTGGTATCTCTTTCTTCTCTTTTTTTTTTATCACTCTCCGTCTTTTCTCTTCTCTCCTTCTTTCTCTCTCTCTCGCGTTCTATGCGTGTGTAAATTTCCCCTCTTGCATGGGATTCGTGTGTGGGGGTGGATTAGTCTTTTAGTGTGTCTCTAAGGATGTCGAGTTGGGGAGAAGAATTGAATAAACATGTGGGTTGCCTTCCCGGTGCACCCTCCTCTTATTTTTTTTTCTCTTGCCAGCACCCTATTCTCCACCTGCTCCTGGATCCCCCATTCTTTCTTTCCATTCCCTCAAAAGATAGCATTATTTCGAATGTCAGCGCTGCCATCATCAGCAACTTTCCCGACGACTGCTGCTGTTTCGTTCATTCAATGACTCATCTTCCACTGAGTACAGTGGGCTTGGTTCTTGTTGTTGTTGTTGCTGTTGTTGTTGTTGTTGTTGTTGAGATGGGAAAAAAGAAGAGGAATGAACGAATGAAATGGAATAAGGAAAAGCCAAGGAAATAAGAGAAAGAGTGGAAAGAAGAAATACGAACGGTTCCTTTGAAGCACAAGTAGAAAAGAAAGAAGTTCATACGTGAAAGATTGCAAGAAAGAAAGAAGAAAGAAAGAAAGAAAGAAAGAAAGAAAAAAGGAAAAAAAAGAAGTGATGACTGGATAGAAAGAACGAAAAAAAGAAAAATAAATAAAGAAAGAAAGAACAGACAATTGAAAGAAAGAAAGAAAGATAGAAAGAAAGATAGAAAGATAGAAAGAACTGACGGTTGAAAGAAAGAAAGAAAGAAAGAAAGAAAGAAAGAAAGAAAGAAAGAATTGATGGTTATGAAGAAAGAAAAAAGAGAGAAAAAGAAAGAAGTGATGGTTAAAAAAACGAAAGAAAAACAAAGAAAGAAAGAAAGAAAGAAAAATAAAGAAAGAAAGAAAAAAGAAAGAAAGACGGTTGAAAGAAATAAAGAAAGTATTGATGGTCAGAAAGAAACAAAAAGAGAAAAAAAGAGAAATGGTTGTTAAAAAGAAAGAAAAATAAAGAAAGAAAGAGCAACGAAAGAAAAAAAAAGACTGACTCTTACGAAAAATGAAGGAAAGACAATGGGAAAATGGAAAACGAACAATATCAACAAGTAAAATGTTCAATTGCTGCTGATATTACTACTACTACTACTACTACTACTACTACTACCAATAATAATAACAACAACAATAGTGCTAATTATGTTCATGTTAAAATAAAATATACTACCTACCGTAGCTGATAGATCATCCCTCAAACCAATTCGGAAATGTAGGGAGGTTGATTGTCACCTGGTGCCGTTGGTCTTGTGCCAGCCTAAGATAAACTTAGTCAATAAGAAAACTTGTCTTGGTTTTGAGATAATTGTATTTTCCCTTATTGTCAGGTATCGAACTTCGAATGCTGATTTTCAAGGAAGAAAGTTTTTTTCTTCTCTTGGGGGATAGACGCCACCCACCAACAAGCGTTTCACTCCGTATTGGACTTAACTAAGTTGATCAATAGTAAGAAGTAGAATACTTGCTGCCACTTGATCTCCACCAGATACGTGTGATGTGAAGACTCACTCTGAAATGTAACGTTCGACAACACAAGGAAACGGTATGGCTATTTATCAGGAAATGTTCTTCTAAATAATTAATTAGGAAAATACATTCATCAGGTGTGTGCAAAGGTTTCTAATGAAAAACCTGTTTTTCAGCTGTGTAGTCGGTAGTAAGATGAAGACGACATTTTTCCATCGGAATTATTCAACCTGTTCTACACTTACCTCAATAGAGATTGCCTCTTCTCATCCGTTAGAAACCGTCTTCCGAGTTCTCAATCCGCTGATTGTTTGGGCTTCATAGATGAATTATATTGGTTCAAAAAGTCGTACATGTCTGCCAAGGACCCTAATACTGAAATATTTCAAACCTCATCAGAAGTACGATAGAGTGTAAATGAGAGATCTAATCAATTTAATATTTTCCAAGACTATGTCCTGCGCATATACAAGCACAGATATGAAGAGATGGGCATTTATCTTTAGAGGATTTGCGTAAATACATCCCAAATGAATCTACAAATAAAAAACAGCATCCCTATTTTCCCTCCTAAGGCGAGTGTAAAGATGATGAGATGTAGAGTTTATGTTAATTTGATGACATAGGTATTCATAGTTGTGTTAAAATGATCTAGAATCAAAATAAATCAACACGACCTACCAATTGTTTCAACAAATAAGAGTCAAGATAAACCTTTCCAAAACAGAAATTATGATCTGGAATGGGAATGAAAGCAGTGATGACAAGTTCCTTGAATCCATCATAAACATTCAGGATGTGGAATTAATAAACAGTAAACAATTCAAATACCTCGAGTATGGGCAAGTTATAACAAATTTAGTAAGGAGATAAGGAAATTGAACATAGAGATAGTTTCTCCCAACACTGCAAGTTGCTACAAAACCAAAACATTAACCTAAAGGCTCAAGTCAGATCGAGACTTTCATATGGAGGTCATGCATGGCGCCAAATTCCTCTAGAGATATTGAAACTGCTGTTACAGTTTTTTGGATATATGTATGTACTAGTGAGCCAACCAAAATGAGCTGACTCATTTTATAGTCCACCAATAGAAGGGTTAACCAATCAGAAAGCTCAAAATATTAAATCCGACGTGTATAAAGGCAGCCATTTTGTTTTTCTCCCAAAATATCTTCACTGCCAATCTCTGATATCGAAGACTTAAAGAATTACTTAACAGCTGCTACTTTCTCAGAATCTTCACTGCCAACCTCTGATATTGAACACATTACGTACTTCACTTGATTCTATATTCAAAGACTACTGCAAAAATGGTTAGCAACTGCCAGCTGTATACAACTGCGTTCTCATCTCGATAGTTAAAGATATCTTCAGGACCTTGCTGTTCATAGTTACTATACTTTTTCGTGCCTCGTGGACTGGCGCTGCAGAATCTCAAACAAAGAACAGTACTAGATAACAGAAACTACATTACTTCCGGATTTCGAGCAGATGAATCCTGTAGGTTTTAGCGAGGACTGTACTTCGTGGCTGGCGTTATATAATAACAATAGACTGCGCCAAATAACACAATTTGCTTCCTTTGAGGATTTTTAATAACAGAAGCGACTTAAATAGATGTCACATGTAAGTCAAAGAGAAAATAAGAACATAATCAATGAACCACACTACAAAAGATTAAGAAGGAAACTCCCAGAAAACTTGAAAGAGCGATAACAGTTACTGAACTTGAGAAAATCCATTTCTCTGAAAAATAGCTTTAGTAAAAAGCTTTTGTAAATTTCAGTTGATAGTGACACCGGCTGCTCGATCAATGATTTCCTAATATTTCCTTATAAGCGATCAGTTAATCTTGAGATTACCATTCATTGAGATAATCCTAAGGGATCTAGGGGAACTACCAGGATTTATTATTGATAAACAGAATCCTAACATCATATAATACTAAATATATTTCTCAAGTCCAGTAACTGTTATTGCTCTTCTTTCCTTTTCGTTAATCATCTCACCCCAAGCAAGGTATTAAAGCCACTAGTGCGTAATCGGCTACTGAGAATACGAGAAAAAACTACTATTAAGGAAAGAGAAAAATAAAAGGACAATAATTAAGTTGACAGAAGATAACAATTGGCATTGCATTTAAATTTTTCAAGATCAAAGTTGACTGGGAAGCTAAAAAATGGAAGATAGTTCCACAAGCGACAAGTGTGAGAAAAGGATCAGTCAGCAGAGAACATACGGTTAAATCCAACCATTTCAACTGTAAAATAACTAGACCTTGCTGTTCATCTAGTACTGCGCTTAAATTCATAAAATCTAGGTACCATAGAAGAACGTTCCCCAGAACAATTAACATGAAAGAATTTATAAAAAAGGCAAAGGGAAACTATGTTATAGATGTGGAAATGTAACTGAAGGCAAGATACCAAGCCAGGACCAATAGGATTGCAGATTCTTCTTTGGATTTTATCAAGAATCTCTAAATATATAGCAGGAGTACTAGACTAGATGTGGCAGCAATATTCAAAGTAACGGCGAATGGTAGATTTATCAATATGTAAGATAGATTTTGGCAAGAAAAATTGTCTAGCACAACATGGCGAACCAACTTTCTTATCTTCAGATTTTAGTAATTAATCCAATATAATCTTTCCAGTTCATGTCAGCTGAAAACTTTCCAATAATTTGTGGAACATCAGCATCTTGATTATGAGTATTTCAGTCATTTTTTCTCTGTATGGTACTTTTCCAGCACAAACTACCATTATAGATGGAGATTATATATTATATAAAATTACATATTACAAGACTGACTCAGCATAGTAGCAAAAGAAAGCAAGAGGAGTGAGCTAATAGCTGTAAAAAGACAAAACATCTGGTTGCTAGCAAAAGGGACAATGAAAGACTGGAATTATGCAATGGGGATGTCAGAATCAAACAGTTTCAACTGTGTAGCGTCAAAAGAGATGCAGAGGTGCATGGAAATAGCAGTGATTATCTTCCATTTTATTTCTCGATATAGATGGCGTTTTTTTTTTATCCGTTTTCCGTAAAACTATCTCCCTGCCCAACACGCAAACCACCAATCTGCCATTAGGTGGTCTGTCACAAATGTTTATCGCTGGTGGCCTGCTGTCGGACCGCTGGCGTGTTTGTCTCGGCAATGTTACCACCGGCAGACCGCTAGAGGCCAACCGGTGGCCCGCCAGTGGCTGCCAACAGAGGACCGTTGGCAGTGACATCGGCGGCCCGCCAGCCGGCCACTAGCGGCTTGCGTTTAGGATGTTTACTTACTCCGTCCGTGGCATTCACAGTCTCCTGAAACATTTCTGTTTCATCAAGTCTTCTCTTCATCTGTAAGGAAATTGCCCAGCATTCACTACCGTACATAACTTAGTATCGTTTTTGCTAGCCATCTTCTTTTTTTTTATTCCAATGCGTCTTTAGAGATTTTGGTGTAACGTTTTCCTTTATCTACTAAAATTTTTCAACATATATGAATTTCTGTACTTCTTTGAATTTGACATCTCCAATTTGTAACTCGCATCTTGAGTTGCCCCTTTTGCTAACAGCCATTTATTCTTTTTTTTTCTCGTACTGGTAACCATACATTCTGTCTTACACAATATATGAACATTAGCTTCGTCTAAAACAAAGTTATAAAAGTGAAGATTGAATTCACACTAATCGTAATGGCCTGTGTGATGATCTTGCTCAACTAGTGCTACACGGGGTCGAGAGCTGGATGGCGATTGAGAAATATAGGAAAAAGAATGAAAATGTGAAAAGTGCCTGTAACAATAGCAACAACAATCAAGCCAGTATCAAGCCAGCAGCTAGACCGCGCGAATGTGCTCCAGGGTCAGAAGGGCTAACAAGAATCGTCTTGTCATGCTCGTTGTATCAAATATTTTGAGCAGACCATTATTTGAATTTTCGGGATGTAAAAGAATGGATGCGACACACAGGCCCAAAGGAAGGAATGTTTGTGCATATTCTTGAAAATAAAGAACCTAGAGAATACAAGGTAGCCATTAAGGCGTCCTACTTCTGCATCGCAAAATTGCTATTAAATTATATATACGATAATTTGCTTGGTTTTTCAGTGCGCTCATACGGCATACATGAATTGGGTGAAAGAAGTCACAGTCATCTCTCTCTCTCTCTCTCTCTCTCTCTCTCTCTCTCTATATATATATATATATATATATATATATATATATATATATATATATATATAACAATCCAATAAAACCAAGAGTGATGGAAGAAAAATATTTTATTCATAGTAATTGAAACCTTGAAACATACCATTTAAGAAACAATGATGGAATTTTCATGTTTTTAAAAAATTCCGTCCTGTAGATGGCGTCCACCTGTACGAATGCATTCTTGAAATCTGCTGTTGAGATTCCTCAGTGACTGCTGCAACATCTCAGCTGGGATACTGTGAATTTCATCTTGAATTCTAAATGGCGAAATGTTTACTTGCTCAAGGTCACTGTCACGCAGTGTTGCCACTTGGT